AATCTTCGTTCGGACGAAGAATTTCCGAGAAATTTTCGAACGCTTTCATCCACCTCTATTCATTTCCGTCCGATAAAACATTCATTACCCACGAAATTGTAGTTTAACTCTGCCATTTCGTGTTACGAACTTAACGCGTGATTCATGCACTAATCAAGATGCAATTTATATCATTAGATATAAATCAAAACTATGATTTATATCGAAGCGATTGATTTTATTCTCGTTGAAATAGAAATAGCATACGAACATCATTCGAAGGAAGCATAAGAAAATGGTCAAAAGAAAAGTTGACAAGGTAAAAAAGGGAGAAAAGTGCAGAGCCGCAAGGCGAACGCAACAGCGAGAAGTTACTTTGTAACATAGGCTAAACCGGTGCCAAGGGATGGAAAGAATCGATATTCGCACACGGTTCGATATCTCGCGGCAAGGCCACACCACGACCCTTCTGCATTATTGATGCTTGATGGACGGCTTTTATGGAATGGGTGTCTCGCTGTTTGCGGATCACCAAGCCTCGCGTGCTGTCCATCCTGTGTGTCACAATAATTTTCTCGCTGCGCATGGCCCTCGTTTTCCACGATGACACGTGCACTGTTAACCCACACACGTATCTAATCGAAGAATTAACAGGTTACCAGCTGTCTCTTCTAACTTAACGATCTACTCAACGTGTTGACTGCTATCCAATAACATGTGCTACCAATTTAACCGACAATGTGTCAAATAATTACCACAAAAATAAAGGGGAAGCATGTTGAATGAACATTAATATCAAAAGATCCTACGTCTAATCTGAATAATTTTAATTACATTTTAGAAATTCTATAAAAGGTTATCTAATTATAATAAATGTTTTATAATTTTGTACTGATACTATGAAATAAAATTTACTTTTTTCTCACTATATTTATTCTCGATCATATTAAAAGGCAATTTCACTGGAAAATCCTCCGCGAAGGAGCTTTGCTAAACGTTCAAGAAGAATTGCAAGACGAAAGTAATAGGTGCCATTGACACGCGAGCACAAAGCATACGGCACAACTACTCGTTTCCTCGATATTCTACGCCAAACTTAAAGCGAAATCCTTTTCACACGATATTGGAATCTCGCAAGTCTATCGTGCCTTCCTATCGAGGCAATCACGGCAACGGAACGTGTTCATCGATAATGCTTTCTGGCAGGTTGGCTTTTTCATCTTGAACGCATTACACGTTCAAAACAACGATCACAGAATCGCTTAAATATCCTCATTTCAGTAGCATTTATAGTAATTAAAAAAGGATTGATGGCCTTCGGCCCCTGTATTGTAATTTTTTTCATTAAAAATTTCTATCATTTTTATAATTAGTCACGATCGATGAAAAATAATGCTAATGTTTATCATAATTTTTATCCTACCTCCTAATCCTGTTCCCATTCTCCTATATCCATTTTAAATATTATTCTAAAGCTGCGCAAAAAATTGTATTTAATCTTAATAAAAAAAAAAAAGAGGAATCCACAATTTACCGCAAGACCAACGTAGTTAATTACTCGCAGTTTGTCTTAAACGTAACCGTGGAAGAGCTTCAGTGTTTTTTTAGCTTAAAAAGAAGTAGGTTACAGGGTCCTGGATATAGTACGACAAAAAGAGACAGATGACAAAATGGGCCGCCAAGGTGAACGAGGAAAGGGAAACGTAAATGTGCACTTTTCATATGTGTCGTTATAAAAAAAGAGAGAGAGAGAGAGAAAAAATCGATATTAGTAGTTAGCATGCCCTCTACTCTGTCCATCTCAACCCGATACATCCTTCACATTTACTTCTATTCTTGTTTTCAGTTATTTGCCAATGCTTCTCCTTCGACAGAATCCGTTCACGACCCCCAAAATAATTGCACTGAAAATTCGGGACATTTTCAGAAATTCCAAATGGATAGACTTTGCATCCTTCACCCTAACAATTTTTCTAACAACTCGAGGAAAAAATTAACAAAACATTGTGCATCAGGATGGCAGGTTTTGATTCGATCTCGTTAGCGAAATTCATGTCAAGAATAACATATCGCGCAAAACCTTCAACCGTGACTTTGTATCAACTGTAATTCTACGCTTGTTATATTGATAACAGCTAATGCAAAGGTGGCGTGATAATAAACGTCAAGAATAATTTCTTCAGGGTCACACTTCTATACGTCTATCTCGTCTCGGACAAAAAAAAAAATTCATGTATGACGAGACCTTGAAGAAGGTGACATTGATTGAGGAAAAACCGTATCGAATTTGCACTCCGTAAAGGACGTTGAATAATGTAGCCATTCTTAAAAGAGCATGTTTCTGAAAATATTAATTAGTCACACTTCTATATAACATCAACTTTCATCGCACAGTTTCTAGTTTATCGTTTTTATCAAGCGACTTGCCTCGTGGCATACTTTTTTATTTTTATTCATTATCTGATTTATGTTAACAGAATCGCTCGAGCGAACGATTGATAAACAAATACATGCGAATATGAGTTGATACAATGATTTTTTTTAAATATTTATTTTGTTCGTAATTCGCTTCTGACAATAACTCACTGATAGCGTTGTATAACTATATTGAAATAAACGCCCTACGTACCCTTCAATTCTACGATGACCCTATTCCAAGTATGTCCCCTTTTAGAGCATAAAACGTCGTACCAAAGCAGTATACATAGTACTTTCCCGTGGCAGTTTCGTCTCGCGATAGCGTGAAAGCATGGTTATCATCGACTAAAACATTTCTCACGCGAAGAATTTCTACCTACACAATGTAATGTAGAAGGGAGTAGTACACGCCGTGCAAGGCGTCGCATGATCCAATTTAAATAATTTGAATAGCTTGACACGCCAACAATCGCCTCACGAATATTCCCCAGTTGATCTACGAATTACCTAAACTACTTAATTGCACACCGCACGATTTTTTCAAACACGTGGCAAAAAAGAAGTGATCGATGTTAGAGATAAGAAACATGTTATCTCGTTGCAGGAAGTCTTTAATTAATATGTTAACTGCAGGGGAAAATCATAAAGTAAATTCAGAAAACGTGAAGAAAATTTTTAGTAGAGTTAAGAGAAAAAAATTAAGAAGATCCCAAAATTAGATTTGAATTAGAATAAATGAATAATTAATATTTAGTGAAACTTATTAGCTTCAAGGTTCCCAGTCGAAAGGGGAAGAATTTTAATTACGAATGAAAATTAGGATACAATTGCACCCCTCTCTAAATACTGAAATATTAATTGTTAGGTTATTTACAATTAGGTTGGAGAAACGTGTCAGATTTAGTGTGGCAAACACCGATCGTGAAATTCGTAACAGTTTCGTAATAAGCGAAAGGTCAGCACAGTTCTAATGTTATATGAAAGCAACAAATGGCGACAACTTTACTAAAATGTGAATTGCCAGCATTAAAGGGCGTTGCGACGTACAAAATGATACCGTGAACGATACACGCCGTAATAAGTAAATGGAATCTAAACATAATACCCAGAGTTAAATCCTCGTTTTTCTTTACAGCAAAACCTCGACTTTAAGGTTTATACTCTGGGAAAACATAAAAATTTTGTTATCATAGAAGAATAGCGAAAAGACAATTTTGAAATAATAGCTATGTTTATCGCTGAAAGCACTTTAAATAAAAAAAATATTCCTCGTTAAGAATGATACCTTTTAGTATTGAATGATAAAAATGCAAAAAGGAACAAAATTTATTTATATTTTCTGCACAAATTCAATTTTTTAAAAATATTATTTTTGTAGAAAAGAGAAGCTTAGTCGATACTACTGAATTTATGACTGTGGTACACCAAACGGTAAAGAAAATATCAATGTTTCTTTTTTCAGATAGTAGGAATAATGTGGGAGAAAAGGGACTCCCTTTCAAAGGTTTCCAGACGGTCATTAATCTTTATAGAAGGGTGCTAAAGTTGGAAGCAAAGGGCGTTTTTTAAAATCAAAAAGCAGTAAGATATCGTGCAATTGTGGGAAAGTTTCGAAAATCATGGGGTGAACTTTGAAAAAGGTTTATGATTTTCATGTAATTTTTATCAGAAATATCTTTCAGTATTATCAATAATTTCATGCACAAACACTCTGTAATTTTACCTACAGAGTAGGTATCCAAAATTTTGTTAGTCAAAACTTTGGAACACCCTGTATAAGAACGTACTTTAAATTGAAATTGAAGTGTTTGTATAGATGTCATTAAGAATATGCATAAACCTTTGAATAAAGAAAAGCATTAAGCAAGACAGAGAATTACAGATCTCTGTACGAACTCTTGGTAAGTGATGCAGCCAGAATATTGATCAGACGAAGGAGTACAGGTCAGTATATAACGCGCCATCTACTTGGAGATCGGCTAACTTTCTCAAGAATTTAATTAATAATTTTTGCAAAAACCGCAACAAAATATATTAATTATATAATCTGTCGAAATAATATTCTTTTTGTAAAGTTACCTAGTTCCCCTTTGAAATTTTGAAAACTGAAGTTCTGAATTAAAAATAGTTTAATAAATTTTTTAAATAATTAAAATTTGTAACTCATAATTAACTAGCAATGATATCTATTTTTTTAACGATACTCTCGTGGCTGGAATCCTTATTTTATATCTTTTATGCATCAGTCTTTCAAAAAAACACCGTATCCCCGATATTTATTAACTGACAGTAAAGATTGATGCGAATGCATTGTCGGAGAACAATATAAGAAGCAAGAGCAATAAGTCGTTAATCTGTTTTTGATATATCGTCGATGGAGACAGCATCCAAACGAAGCTGCTTAAAATAAAATCCTTATTTATTCACGAACGTAGAACGTGCGCTATCGATCGAAAGAAAACAGATTTATATTTTCATTCATCGTAGGTATTTGCTTCTTTTTTTAATCGTATAGCATACTGTTATCGATCATGCCTGTTTCCCATTCTTTTAAGAATGGATCAGCTCCAAGAGTAATCCTTATTTTTAAATATAAAATCTACTTACACAGAGAAGTGGTAGAGGAAGCACTTCCAGCCGGTTGGTCGCTCCAGGAAATTGTAAACTTGACCCTGGAAGGTAGCTTTTCCTGCACGTCGATGTTCTTTCACGTGGTAACGACCCTCCCACGTGCTACGATCGCCACCGGTGCTAGCACCCAACAGTAATCGTGGATCGACACCTGAAAATTCAATGAAATTTTGCGATTTGAACCCCATAATCTAATATTAATCCATCTGTTATCAATGCTATGTTATTATTGCAGCAAATAAAAATCAACGTCCTAAGTAAATATTTTAAAAATATATAAAAAATAATTCGTAAAAGATAGAAATCCCGATCGTTCGATTTGCACACAAATCCGAACACAAACGACACGGTGTAAATAATCCAATTATTCGGCGAATAAATATCGGCCACAGATGGACTGTTAACCGATGGAAACAATCTGATGGAGAATTAAAGGTTGTTACGCGCGACAAAATCCGATATTCTAACCGTGCATTGGTGATTAATAGCCTTTCACATCATTTCCCTCTTTTTTTTTCTCTTTATTGTAGCTCGAGTAAATTTGATGTGAATCTGGGGTGAATCCAGATCGGTCAGAGATTAGTGGATGAAAAATGTAAATAAATAACGTACAAGAAAAAGATAAGAAAATATAAATAGCAATAGCAAAAAGAAAAGACAAATACAAAGTTTCTCTACAAAATAAACCCAAAATAATTCTAATGAATAAATTTCATTTCTAACGAATGAATAAATTTTCTTGTTTAGGAATGAATAAAATTTTATTTGTACCAAGTATATTCCTATCACTGATATAACTTGTACGAAATTTTTCCTCACACCATCGCCTAGCAATCTAATCGTAACCAGAACCTAACCCCTGAAATGTTTCCGGTTGCAGGATATGACGTCATCTACCCTCCCAATGGAAGCTAAGGGTAAGTCGATCCTTCATCGTCAATATTTCAACGATACACATTGGCACGGGTATTAAAAGGATCAGAACCTGCATTCCCACTTTTAAAGGGCATTTCTTATACTCAGAATTTTCACCGCAATAAAAATGATAAATAATATAAAAAATCCATTACTTATTCTTTACAATAATAACCCTTTTAATCAAAAATAATAATTTTATACTAAATCCACTTTGGATTCACTAAATAAGTACAAAGGCACATAGAGTATAGGAAACATAGGTGTACAAACGAAAAGACAAAAGATAAAAATAATCATTAAATGTCTCACCTCCACTAAAGGTATCATTGTTGTCAGACTGTAGTGTGACACTGGTATCGGATAAGGGCGACGGAGTTGGCCTTAAATCCGATGGTGGTTCCAATCTCAGTAAATCACTTCCGCCATCTCCACCGCCCCCATTTCCTTTCCCGACCTGTACAATTGTCACATTCAGAGGTCCCCGGTTACCTGTCGTAAAACAGAGAAACCACGATGAGCCCGGCACCAAAGACACCAGACGCGAACATCGCGCCAAGGCTGTGTTAATCTCTCAAATGAAAGGAAGGGAAAGAAACAGAGATTTGTGTTTATCATTCTCTATCAAATTCGAATACTTTTTGATCGTTTAATTTATTAGCTGGGTTACTTTTTCCATTTTTAAGAGGATTTTCTGTTTATGTGAAGGAGGAAATTTAGCAGTATTTAGGATGATCTTTTGGGGATAGAAACCAATCTTTACAGGATTGGAACATGGTAATGGAGTTGATTGAATGTATGATTTCGTTTAGAATAATCTGCACCGGAAGGAAGTAAAACCGGAATCGACGGTGAATTTTATTAACAGAATTAAGAACACGGGAACAAGCGATAGTCATCTCGGGAACGTTCCTAAGTGGTAATTAACCTCCGTTTTACCGAGCCTCGAGTAACTTATACCAAAGTCAAATTCATTTACACACTAATCAATTTACTTCTGTTACTAATTTCATTAAAATAAATATAAATCTGATATTAAGTTATTTTATATTTCATAAATCTCTTACCCATTATTTGAATGCCTAAATACAAGAAAGTAAGATCGACTAATTAATCTAGAATTCATTAACACGTGTGCCGATCAATTGACATTTGATCGAACTTAAGTGGACACGATCTGGTTTAACTAAACTCGATCGAACTCCGTTCAAGCTTGCCGAGATCAATGATAAATTGAATTCTAACTTGATTAGGATCAACTTCAGCAAGTATATAGATTAACTATAGCAGATCGAATCTAATACAACCAAACCTGAACAAGAACGTGACCCAAATTGAAAATGTTTAATTTCGTTCAACTTCTGTTAAACTGTTTAAATAATAGCAAGTTTGTTTCTGATTATCTTCTGATATTTTCATCATTGTGATATCAATATAACAAATTAGTATGAACTAAAAAAAAATAATTGTCTTACCTGTTCTGGAAGGTGGAAGTAGCAATCCTTGAACCTCTTCGAGGGGCATCGCCTGTCCGTGATGATCTCGATAAGGTCGATGAGGTCGATCTTTCATGCCTCTTGGCGAACGCGTTATCCGCGTTCGTCTTTGCTAGTTTGCTGGCTGAATGGCACCAGCAACGTTCGTTGTTGGAAACTAGGATCGAGACCGAAGTCGGGAACAGGTCCGGGAGACAGGATGAGTCCTGAGGGACTCCTGACGATGACGAAGGACGGTGGTAGAGCGTCATCGCCCCGCCGTCGTCCCTAAGACCATGCCCGGGTCACGAAGTACCTCCGATTGTACAGCCTCAGCCACTCTTTACGAGTCTTATCCTCCTCGGCTCTGTGAACAAACACAATATTCAAATATTAATTAAATTTTAATCGAGTTAACGATTTCAAAATTCCAAATCTAATTCATATTTTTTCACTATGCAAGCAGATTTTCAGAAAATTGGTGAAAAATTATCTTTAGGATAGTTTTAGATATTTCGATCAAAATTAATTTCCATAAACATTGATATTCCAACCATAAAATACAAATTTCATTCTAAATATAAACTGTTGTTACTTTTTGCTATGAATAGAAGAGAGGAAAATAAAATTCCATCGTTCTGGATGACATATTTTTCCACTTTATTTCGCTGAAAGCTCGTTCGAGGTTGCATTATCGATAGTACTCGTTAAAGTTATAGTAAATGTTACATGAGGCAAATATATATGTAGCTAAGCAGCAAGGATAATACGTACAGTGTATGAAACAAGTATTAGCACGCCTAGTTTCATTATAACAATTGTATTTAAAGATTGAGAGACTGTGATATTATAATAAGTAGAGTATGACACAATATACTATAATAATCTTAATCTGATTTAAAAAAAAAAAATCATTTTCTTAGGTTTGATCATTTTCTTCGATTCAATTCTGAATAATCATATCGGAAACGGGTGTCTACGTTAGAGTACCTATCCCCTTAAAGTACTCTTTCCTATAGAATTTTAATCGTCGATCTCAATCGACCTAACCGTTCCTCGATATTCCCGTCTATAGACAGAGTTTCACGTTTGCATATCCCTGACCAACGAAGCGAGCATAGGTACACCAAAGTGTTTGCCCACAGTACACATTACGTGCGTGTGAAATAGATCGATGGAAAACGTGTCTCGGTTAGTGGGTCTAGTTCAGTGGAATTACACAGTAGATCGTACACAGTAGAAACATGCGAACTGTTCAGACCGACTGTGACCTTATTGTTACACATGACATTCCTTTTTCCCCGTCTGTCCTTTCATCCAACAACCCGTTGACACTCGTACAAAATAACCGTGAACAATTTCCAGTATTCATTCATATGACTTTTCCCTCATTTTTCCAACAAATCTTTTTCTTCTTTTTTCTTCCAAGTACCATCGAGCGAAATTTTATTTGATTTTAATAACAGATGATTTAATAATATGTCTCTTGAAATGTATATCGCTCGAGGTTCACCCTGACAAAGATATTGTATCGAGGAGAAAATGTCCCAAACATTCGTGATGATTCTTTGCTTACATTAATCATTTCCCTGCCACACACCATGACGTGGGGTTCCTTCTCTATTTTATTTTTCACCCGACTGTTGCGTTGCAAGGTAATTTATCAAGGTACCTCTGGAAAGAAAAAAATTCACGACAGAGCTTGCCAACACCCCCTGACCTTTAATTCTGAGCCCTTCCATATTTACGAGAATTTCGTTTCATGTTTCGTTATCTGTAGGACGAGGGTGTGAATCAGCATTGCAAGGTGAAAACACGGAATTTTATATCAGAAAAACGATTAAGGTCGCAGACTGTAACATTCGCATCACGAAATATATTTTTTCAAAGTTCTACTACAAATCTGAATTTTCTCTTCATTTTCATTTAAATTAATGCTATTATATCTAGAAAATTTTCTTGCGTTATAAAAGGTAAATTGATTTACCCTATTTTATCTGCAGCTAACTTTCGAACTGTTAATATGAAAGTTCATTCAAATTGGTCTGGAGATAATGGAAAAGTAGCGAAAAAGAGTAACTTTAAAATTAGTATATCGTTAGTTGCGTGAGAAAAAAAGATGTGAAATAATGAGAATGAGAAGATAACGATCTACTTGTGACCCTCTCGTTTCTCTGACTCCTGCCACGTTTTGCTTGTTCTGCGTACAAAATTCATACACGAGACCATTTCACAGAATGAACTTTTGTGTGAAACGTTAAGTTGTAGTATGACATCATTTTTCGACACCTCGTATATTTTTAACAAGTAATTATTTATGATGAAATTCTGAAGAATAAAGCAGCCGGGTATAAAATGCTATACATCCTTTGATACTCTGTAGAAGAAAAAGGCTTATTGTTGTTTAATTAAGGTATTTATACATAAAGGTGAAAAAAAAATTCAATGAAGAAAAAAGCTCTATTAAAGGGTTACAAAAAGCTTTAAACGAGAGTGTAAAAGCATCTCATGATCGATGACATATTAACAAGGTAAATGTTGTGACATTATAGAAGCAATCAATAGTATACAAAATTGACAAAAATAGTATAGCATTAAAGTATAGCATTATCTTGTTAATACTTTTCTAGTATCAAATTAGCATGGATTTAAAAATCGTATTCGGTGTAATTGTTTGATTTATTATTGCGGGTGTCGAACAATGTTAATTTAAACGAAACTGTTTTATGACTTCTAGGTGGAGATGTACGTCATGATCAAGGAAAAGGCGCGGTTGAGACACCTTGAAATCAATCATTGAAAAACTGATATTTAAGCAATGAAGCATGGAAAGTAAGCTGAGAATATCGCGTGACACAATGCCCTTTCCTTGCTTTCCAATAAGCAAGTAATAACGGCACAGGAATCTAAGATTGGATATTCAGCTGGCATCGATGAACGATGTGTAGTTGTCATGCTAATCACGAATTCCTAATGTGATTTATTTAATTCTTTATTTCCAGCCCACGTTTCTCGTTTAATCCTACATTACATCATTGTTCAGGTGAGATCTCAAACACTCCATTATTAAAATTCTTAAAATTCTACTGATAATTGTAAGGAATATAGGTTGAGGTATATCCTTGGACTTTGACTGTTCCAATAAATCATTCAGAAAGAATGAAAAATATTTCATTGGACAATAAACGTTTATGTAAATCGAGAAAGAAGAAAACAACGGGATACATATTTAAGGTTTCAAAAGTATCGATTATATGCCAATATTTATTCCAACGCGAATGCTGTATTGCAAAATGTATCAATTTCCACAAATGCATTGTTTAACGGCAAATTATTGAAACGAAAAGGCAGTTGTATCGGTAAACAATATCTGACAATAATATTCATTGTTATTAAATATCAAAATAGTGAATATTAACATTTCCAATATGAAAAGTGTGAAAAAATTGTATTAAGTAGAAAATGGTTATAGCCTTGACGAACAGCCGACTTTTTGATCGGACACGTTTATCTATTCGCTTTATCAGGGCTGTTAACCTAACCCAGTTCCTCTAAACGATGCGCACTAATTCAACGACGACCTTTAAATTTCAGATAAATCCGGGAAAACATCGAAACGGTGTAGTATATGAAACAAAATACAATGTTCCTTTGTAACGAGGTACATTATTTTCTTCTACAAGAGGAGGATATAATTTTCCTCTTTATTAGCGTAATACCATTTTACTTCGTAATAACACGTACAATTTTCCTTCGTAACAACGTAATTCTCTTGTACGTATAACAGCGCGCTTTTGTTCATAATGAAAAGCAAATGACCGGAAATTATTAGATTATAACAAATCAAATAGTAGATTTAAAGAGATATAAATTCTAACATGATTTCATGACATAAAAGTAATGCAAAATGCCACCTATGACATATCAATTTAAAGCTTAAAGATTAATAAAACTGACTGTATAAAGGTTTCATTAATATTCTTAATACAAAATTCTTAATTAACCAAATGGTACATGAATTGCATTCTCGTCCATTGTTTATGTATTTTAATAAATTTCGTTATGTAATTCGAAAAGAAATCTATTAACAGTCAGATTTATAGCACGGTTCCTATGAAGCACCATTACCTATACTTTTAATGAAATTACTTATCTCTGCTCGAGGTGCTCTCGCTACGGAAGGATATTAAAATCGATTCTGTATCCTGAATTTTGAACGCGAAACTGAAGAGGATCTACAATGGAATTGAGGAATAATGGAAACTTGAGGAATACGGCACAAAAGTTAGCGTCAGCCGACTGGTGAATTTATAAAAACCTTCAGAACTCCGACTGTTCATGAATCCTAAGATTATATTTTCAACTGAGGGAAACTCTCGTCAAAAGGAAACGGTTTTCCGACAACTCGTTCTACCTTTGATATTTCTTAACTGTAGAGATTTCATTTCCTCCTCCTTAACCGAGTTAATTTGTAATATAAAAAGAAATTCATTCGATCGACGTAGAAATATTTTACAAGTTACTTTCAATTATACCTATAGAAAATTGTGCTGATTAAAAATTGTAATAATTATTTAGTTATTGTTAGATTGAAGATGAATTCAGGCCAATTATTACATTAACAGAAGTTCCACGTGTGCTCGAATATTGAAGGATAGTAGTATAAACTATTTGAGATCTTTTCAAGAGTTAGACCATTTCTCAGATGCCATCGCTCTTCAGGGAACGATAGGGTATGCAACGATGCTAAACGGTAGGTGTTTCAAAGGAAGACGAACGTCAGACCTTTATCACAGTCCATGGGGATCTCTAAAGTCTACCTATATAGATAGGATATAGCAGAGAAAAGAGGAAAAATTACCTTACTTTATGTTCTAGCCATCGACAGTAAAACGAATCGATGGAGAAACCAATTATAATGCTTAGAAAAATAAGAGAAAATTTTTAATTACCTGCAGTTAATGATTCAGCACAATCATTTGAATTTTGATTTATATTAAGCTCCATTGTTTCAGACAATGAAAATTAGCCTCGAGAGAAATTTAATGCAAACATCAAGGAGATTAATCGCACTGTCATCATAAAAGAACACCCCAATTATTCGTGTCAATGATGATTCCGTTTCTCGCTTTGTTCGTACTTGCAGTCTATTCAAAGTGAATAAATTATATGACAAATGCATTCACTTGTGTGACCGAAGAATTATAATTATTAATTCAACAGTTTCTTGTATCGTATTAGTGATAACACAAATTTAATTTTAAATTGAATAAAATTGAAAACTGTACGACAGAATAAATATATATATTTAACTATCCGTCGTTTCAATTTGATCCGAACGAAGTCGAGGATGAAGAATTGAATCTTCAATAGCTTGTAAGTCATTATAACGCATGACAAATTATTATTAATTGAGAGAGTACGAATACTTTCACGATTCATTGTATGTATGTAGGTCGCGACGATGACTTATTACAGAGTCCATCAATCGTAAACGAAAGAATCTATATACAATTAAACAAATTACGGCGAAGCAATCAGTGTGACTCGCACAGGGTGTTGTTAAATAATTGATTAGACGATCGATATTTTTCCAACGCGAAACGAAACGGTAGAATTCATTTGCGAAAAAAGTATGTAATGATAACAGGTAAGTAACAGGTAATACCGTAGCTACAGCTGTTCTTCTATAAGTTTCACGAACCATGAAACTATGAACATTGATAAAAATTTTATAAGACTATCTAACAAATTTTAACCTTTCCTTCTTGCTACTTGCCGGTAATTATAGAAGTGGTATCATTTATGTGTATTTCGCTTTTAGATATTCAGATTTTTACATTTGAGTGAACGAATAAAATAATTTCCAAATTTTTTAATTTAATTAACACCGCTGCGTTAATTCACGAACCAACCGACTGGAATAAATGTAAAAAAGGGTTTTCATCGTACTTTAAACCAGAGGAAAGGCACTTTTGAATTTTAGCTTACCATCTAAATAAGTTCGTTTCATGATAGCACGTTTCGCGAGACAATATAACGTGACATGAAAAGCAAGATCTACATATACGCGAGATACTTGTCTGTTTATCTTGTGCATAATTATCCTGGTTGAATTTTAGTTGGATACCAGCAAATAAAGAGAAACTAATCCTAACAAAACCGCGGTGGCTCGTAACTACAGCTCTCGTTGCTTTTCAAACACATATTTGCAAATCCACACATTCGTATCTGAAGTATTTTTCTTTAAACACGAGAACAGAATTAATTTTGTAAAATAAAAATTCGGTTGAATGATTTTGTACTGAATTAAACGTAAATTAAACCTGACGCTTTAGTTGAACAACTAAAATGAATTACAAGACAAAATTTATGTCGATTTGAAAATGTTAATACAAAAATGTAAAATCGCCTGAAAACAAGACGGCATTGCACGTAGAGCTGTTTATACTATCTCTTTCACGCGTATATTAATTTAATGATTACATCATCCGTTCCCATTGCCTATTAACATAATGGAATTCCACAATGTTATTGAAACCCACGTAACAGTGGCATGTGCTTTGAACTTTCGGGCTCAATTACTCACCGAAACGCAACCTTGCAGGTTACTTACCCCCTGTGAGTTATCGACTAAGGGGTAAACCACCGAAAACTCGCACGACAACAAGAATGATGATAAAACCTTCGTCTGCAAGCGACATTAACCTTCATACCCTGCTTTTAGAATAAATTGACCCAAAATGAAAATCTGATATTTAATAACTTCGCCAAAAAATATTTTATTCTCATGATGTAATTACATCAGCGTCTGAATATCATCATTATTTATATGTTGGAACAATTTCAAAACAAGGTGTGTTTGTAATACAGCTCTAAAGATTCTCTTGGGAAGTCACATTTGAAGCAAGAATACGTGCTCGAAAATGTAAACGTTGAAGAAATACGTGACTAATTCTGTTCCGAATCGATGCTTCTACGCGATTTCCATGTAGAAATTCCAAAATTCAAAGAATTACAGCTAAGTTACAGCCACTTTAAATGGAACTGAGTAGAAGGTATAATAAAAAAACTGGTCAATAGGGCGGCGCCGCGCCAGTAGGCTCTAATGGTAATTGTTTCATGTGTTTGCCTTTTAATTATGGCCGAACAAAAGGAGAATGAAGTGCAAAATGAGTTCTACAGGGATATAATCCTGAAATAACTGATTGTCTGTAAAGTACTAAAATTACTAACACCACAGAAAAGAGATACATTTTGTATCTTTAAATGCATTTTATGATGTTCACTGTAGTACCATTATTAAACATAGTTCTATGAAATAATAAAATATTCAAATTAATTCATTTAGTCAATGGAGAGTGCTCTTCTGTGTAGACCATCATGGAACATATAATATACATAAGGTGTCCCATATAACGTAGTACCACTGCCTAGGGGGTGATTCTATATGCAAGAATAAGTCGAAAATGTGCAACAATTTTTGCTTTATATTCGGTTCCATTTTGGAGAAAATTAAATTTGAAAATTTTCTGAAATATTTATTTATATGTTTTGTGAAAGAATTTAATATACAGTCGTATGAAAGCGTTTCTCGACAGAAACAACCATAACGAGAGAATAAGTATAATATTAATGCTACTTTAAATTGTATTCCTTTTAATTATTCAATCATTTTAAATTGGTGGCGCCGAAAACCGACAACCCCCCACGGTCCAAATGTTGAATTATATTTTAAATTTAAATAATTTCCCGCCATATGACGCTTTCAAATAGACGTCATTTCTGTTTACAAAACACCATGTGACGTAGCTGCATGGTCAATACAACCTCAAAAATCAATTGTGCTCGCCATGGTTGCAGACGGATGCATATTTCAGCATTACATTCTCTTTCATTTTTTCAGTAAAAAGAGAATACTGCTGAAATAGGCCAAATGTATTGAATTCTATTGTCATTAGTAAAGTAATTCATCAATCTGATAAATACGATACGATACACGGCTAATGTAATTATTTATAAATGTATTTTTTTATTAATTACGTAAACATAAGATTCATTAAAAGCGTAATATTTCCTTGTAAGAAATAAATATACAAGAAAAATGTGTAGGTATTATTCTTGTTCCTGACATTTCATTAATTCTCCCAAATTGTCTGGGCAACATGCCCCCTTAATTACTTTCAACAATACGATAAATATCTAATATCATTTCACTAATACCTCGCCAAAATAGAATAATTTGTAACTCTTCGATTTAACCTTCAACCCCTTAGTATTTGCTGTTATAATTAGTCCCTGTTAAAAGTTAATAGGTAGTGAATATGAAAAAGGGTTTACAAAAGCACCGTATTGCCCCTGTCGTATGAGGACGTCGATAACATTAGCTCCTGACAATGAATCGGTCACAAAGCAGCGACAAAAAGTAACCTTCACCCTTGCCAATCGAATTTGCATTCGGAAGATTCAATGAACGTATTCGCGGAGACAATCGTGATCAAAAGAGTACATAGAAACGCTTACCTGTTACGAGGGAAGTTGTCACGACGTGGAGGCGACGCAGGAGCGAGATAACCCGTGGAAAGTGTCGTTATCCAGTTCACATATCACACTGATGTATTCGCAGGTACGGTCGACGATTATTCGTGATCCAGGTCGCATCGATTCGTGCGCGTCGTACGAGGACCTTCGTCGTTCACCAACCTTTTGTTTATCACCGAATCACGAGAGTACAGGACGAATGAAAACAACACTAGGACGGTTTACACCTGTCAACGATGACGGGACACGTGTACCAGCGATGCATACGCGTGCACGTGTAACACAGTGGCGCGTAACAGACGCACGTTTATCGGTTATTGATTGTGCGCGAAAAGTCGTCGAAAGACAGAGGAAAAATGATCACGGTAAAGAGTCGCGAGCTACTACTACCACCATAGACTTTTCTACGGAGACAACTCGTCCTGCGGCCTAACCGAACGGACAACTCTGACAGGAGGCGTACACAGTGATGCCAGAACCGTGGGACGTGGGACAAATTTTTACCCTCTCCACGACGTCCCACGACGTCCCAGTGATTCCCCTACCGCAGTTGTTTCATCTAACACAAGCGCGTTGTCCCACGTGTCCGTGTGAGCTCTGCGGGTTTGGCAGAGTTCGGCTGCTTTCGTAATTTCTACGTTATCGGCTCGATGCTCAAACCGCTAAAGCACGTGGCAGCAGCATCGACGAATCGACAAAATAATATAATTTCGTCCATGGCAATATGGTAGAAGTGAGAAACCAGGAGATTCAATTCGAATCCCGATTCTACGGTTTCAGTTCTGATTCTTAATGCATTAACGTTTTTTTAATACATAAAAATACATTTTTAATACATTAATACTATGAAATACATTAACTTGGGAAGCAGTTAAAAGAAGGAGTTGAACTGCATCTTTCTTTGATATTTTTTTTAATATTTAAGTTTTTTATATATACATATGTATGTACGTCCATATGATAAAAGTACGTGATACAGAAGTAATTTCTTCAATTAGATATTACAGTTATTCTAACTATTACAATACGTAAATCCGAAGACATACGAGGAAAATTGCAACTGGTCCACGCTTATACGATATTGCATATTTTACTTTCCTATAATACAACAAGGAAACAAAACTATAATATAGTGATTACCATAATACAATAGAAAATGTTAAGCTTGCTATAAACCTTATGTGTTTTCTGTGTAGTTATGCTGCACTTTCGCTTCGTTGCTTTATAATGACTAATGACTGATTTTTCTTTTGAATGAAACTTCCACTAGCGTATTGATGAAATTTTTCGATGAAAACAAGATCAAACACGACATAATTTGAATTATACTTACTTTATATATTTGCATTAGGTTTTAAATAAATAAGTAGATATATTGCAAATTATGTCGTGTTAGGTCTTATTTTAATCAGAAGAACCTTACAATTACATTGGTAAAATTTTCATTTAGCAAAAATGAAAAATAAAAATAGTTATGGTTAAATTAATATTGTCTCACTCAAATGTTTCTTTTCGTGCCCTTTAATTCTCGGACCTCTTTCTCTTTCGCTATTTGTCCTTTTCTATGCTCGCCAGCATTCAAGAACTCGCTCGAGCTATGTCGTTCTGCCAGCATCACATTTTCGTTACCTACAGTAATGCTTCGAAATAAGCAAGTGGTCTCTGCTTCGAAATAAGCAAGTCGCTATCCCCTCTTCTTTGTTTGAAGTCGCCCGCAAAGTGAGAGGTACGAGAAACGAGTGAGAGGTCCATGAAAGCGCGAAGCCGATGTTTAGGGTAATAAATTTGACGCTCGACTGAGCAGTGACATCGGTTAGTAGAAGAAGGATGGAATATATATAATGCTTTCTCAGTCTGGTATATTTGCTTCGAAATAAAGCATAGTGCGAGAATGAGAGGGCATGTTATATTCTATCCTTGTCCAAAAAATAACATCGCTGCTCGGCCGATCACTTTATGATTTGCCGCTACCTCGGATCTCTCACTCGTTTCTCGCGTTCCCTATCGTCCCGTTTCGAGAACAAAGTCAAGCCGAATAGCTACCTGCTTCGAAATAAGCAACTGTTCGGTCCCGAGCCACTTGCTTATTTCGAAGCATTACTGTATTCATCGAATATTTGAGTGTAACGCAAAATCAAGGGAGTCCAGTATAATAACACATTTTATGCTGAAAGAATGTACTAAGTTATCTGTCTAAAAAAATTTTAATAAATCTGACAACAGATTTATTTTCGGGCTGCTTTTCTTAAGTAATCAGCATTTTACCAGTCTCCTGTACGCATCGTGTGTAGCAGTTTGTAGCAAACTCAACATGTTTTCGATATTACGTCGAATACACAACCGATCGAAAAATATTAAAAATGCAGGATATTTTGTGCCGTTTTTTATATGCTAAAGGCGATTGACATGAAATAAATGACTAACAATGAATAGTATAATAAAGGTGATCGCTGTTCATCTATTTCCTTTCTACGATGTATTTCTTCCACAAGAGACGGTTTCCTAACAATTTACAGTACAGTAAAACCTGGGTCCGATCAAGACGTCCGATCAAACTTCGACACCTCGCTTGGATATGCATATGCAATGTTTTGATTCGATCTCTCTGACTTTTCGTCTACTTTTAACATCAATTTTAGCAAGTAATTACAATTCAAACTATATCGTGTTTGGTATCATTTTAATCAGAAAAATCTGGCCAATGCGCTAGTAAAAATTTCATTTAAAAAAAGTCAAAGATAAAAATGTTTTATAACTGAATTAGTATTAGTCACACCGATATGTTTCGGCTCTTTCCTTTCATCATCGGACCTCTCTCTCTCCTCCATTGCCTGTCCCTTTCTGCGTTCACGCTTGGCTGGCGTCGCGCGTAACCCGAGATTCGACACCTCGCTTGGATCCCAATCTCTCTTGCATATGCATATCCAGATTTTACTGTACTGTAAATTGTTAGGAAACTGTCTCTTGTGGAAGAAATACAGGATTGCCTCGAAATAAGCAAGTGGTCTCTGCTTCGAAATAAGCAACTGTTAGGTCTCGAGCCACTTGCTTATTTCGAGGCAATCCTATACTACATCGTAGAAAAGAAATAGATGAACAGCGATCACCTTTATTATATTATTCATTGTTGGTCATTTATTTCATTTCGATGGCCCTTGACATATAAAAAGCGGCACAAAATATCCTGGATTTTTAATATTTGTCGATCGGTTGTGTATTCGACGTAATATCGAAAACATGTTGAGTTTGCTACAAACTGCTACACACGATGCGTACAGGAGACTGGTAAAATGCTGATTACTTAAGAAAAGCAGCCCGAAAATAAATCTGTTGTCAGATTTATTAAAATTTTTTTAAACAGATAACTTATTGTTAGTATATTCTTTCAGCATAGAATGTGTTATTATGCTGGATTTTCCCGATTCTCCTAAAAGTGTGCGAGGCTGGCAGAACGACACAGCTCGAGCGAGTTCTTGAATGCTGGCGAACGTAGAAAAAGACAAATAGCGAAAGAGAAGGAGGTCCGAGAATTAAAGGGCCCGAGAAAAAACATTTGAGTGAGACAATATTAATTTAACCATAACTTTTTTATTTTTCATTTTTGCTAAATGAAACTTTTACCAATGTAATTGGAAGGTTCTTCTGATCAAAATAAGACCAAACACGACATAATTTGCATTATATTTACTTATTTATTTAAAACCTAATGCAAATATATAAAGTAACTATAATTCAAATTACGTCGTGTTTGATCTTGTTTTAATCGAAAAATTTCATCAATACGCTAGTGGAAGTTTCATTCAAAAGAAAAATCAGTCATTATAAAGCAACGAAGCGTAACTGCAGATTAAGTACACAAAAAAAAGAAGGTTTATACCAAGCTTAACATTTTCTATTGTATTATGGTAATCACTATATTATAATTTTGTTTCCTTGTTGTATTATAGGAAAGTTAAATGTGCAATATCGTATAAGCGTGGACCAGGTGCAATAGTTGCAAGAAACCTGATATGTATATAACAAATTAAATGAGGAATCAAATTGTATCTAATCCATCTTTCATTGTAATGACCATTCAGAGAATAAAATTATAATAGTTGTAAGGAATAAGAAATAAAACTGACAAACCGTTAAAGATTGAAATTTCTTTATATCCTTACAATTTAACCTAACCAATTTTCCTCGTATGTCTTCGAATTTACGTATTGTAATAGTTAGAATAACAGTAATATCTAATTGAAGAAATTACTTCTGTATCACGTACTTTTATCATATGTACGTACATACATATGTATATATATAAAACTTAAATATTAAAAAAAATATCAAAGAAAGATGCAGTTCAACTCCTTTTTTTAACTGCTTTCCAAGTTAATGTATTTCATAGTATTAATGTATCAAAAATGTATTTTTATGTGTTAGAAAAACGTTAATGTATTAAGAATCAGAACTGAAACCGTAAATTCGGGATTCGAACTGATTCTCCTGGTTTTTTAATTCAGCCATATTGCCATGCACGAAATTATATTATTTTGTCGATTCGTCGATGCTGCTGCCTCGTGCTTTAGCGGCTTGAGCATCGAGCCGATAACGTAGAAATGACGAGAGCAGCCGAACTCTGCCAAACCCGCAGAGAGCTCACACGGACACGTGGGACAACGCGCTTGTGTTAGATGAAACAACTGCGGTAGGGGAGTCACTGGGACGTCGTGGGACGTCGTGGAGAGGGTAAAGATTTGTCCCACGTCCCACGGTTCTGGCATCACTGGGCGTACACGCGCGCCACTAACTACCGCGCATCCACTTCCGCGCAGCCCAACAGACAGGCGCGCCATCTGCGACGCAGCAACTTTGAATATTCTTGTTTTTCTGGAATATTAAACTAAGCTATACTAATTTTAGCACTGCATCAATCATTGTCAAAAGAATCCCATTATTATTATTAGTCTTATTTAATCAATAAACATTTTTATTTTTCCACGTTATTTTTTCATCACAAGGGCGATATATAAAACAGTAATTAGTAATTTTGAATTTCATAGAGTCTGACGAGTTTTATATTTATGTATTCCAAGCGTGAAATAGTATACAAGAAAGTTTGACGATTATTCAATATAACTATAACAGTATTAGTGGAAATATCACAATAATAATCTGTTAACAGAATATGGTATAAATGATGATAGGTGATAATGGGTGCCGTCGCATATAAGCGTGCATTTTATCGATCGCTTTTAATAGTTTTGTATGAAATTCGCAGAAAGTTGAATAAAGATAAACATTGATTGCATGTTTAACCCGTTCGTTATGGCCATACGTTTATTCGCTCATTTGCAATATATGACTGATTTTTACATTTTTTCAAAATAAAACTTTTAACACTCCATACAGTCGGTATCATGGATTGTGATTTTTGTGAATTACTGTACATTATTCACCCGCATGACCTCGGTGATTCTTGAAGAGAAACTTTAATTCGATATCACATTCCAAGGTGTGAAAACTTTAACTATTAACTAAGAAAAGTTTGGCTATTATGCTTATAACTGTTCATCAAAGTATTTTAATGCATCCATCCTGAACTGTTAACAAAAAAAATACAAATGTTGACCTGACATTTCCAAAATAAAATAAGAAAAAGTTAAAACAATATTTAACAATTATTTATATTGATTATAATTCGTAGCAGTATGAAATATTTATATGGTGAGGCCTTTGAGGAATAGCGTGGGAGTTTATATTTTCTACTTTAAATTAAGTTTATTAAGTTTATTAAGTTTGACTTTCTTCGCAAATGACTCTTAAAAAAAGAGGAATGATAAACCAGAATCCACGTTCTAACGAGATGTAAATATTTGTTTCGTTGCTCGTGTACTTCCTGAATTCTTTGAAAGGATGCGATGCAAGTTCTCTCTATATACTTGCTTTCAAATTTGGTCAACTCATGGCTTTTAATTTGCATTCCCTCGAAACTAGGAAATTTCTGACGTGCTATTTATAATTATTAACGTTCTAGCTAGATACCCTAGGGTTTGCACTCTCATTAAAATAAGCATGTGTATTTAAGGTTGATTTCATTTGGAATATGATTCGTGACACATGGGTCACATGCAATAGTTAGAGACTATAGAAACTTCATTTCAATGAAGACTGTGACGAAATTTTTCTGACAAAAGAAACCAAATGTCATTTCGTTATAATCCATATTACTCTTACTAGTTGAGTATCCGTAAAAAAAGTTAGACCATACTCTACTAATATTTCATTTCATACTCTCAAGGACGCGGTACTGTCCCACTGATACTTTCAGCTGATCGATCAGCCTTAGGTGACCGTGTTAACGATAACTTACGTTACTTGGATTTCTCTATGCTTATCTAACTATATTTATTTTTAGAAACTCTAGCATTAAAGAAATTGAATTGCTTTAACCCTTGCTTTGAAAAGATGATTTGTAAAAAAATAAAAAAGTAGAAAATTACATTTGTCTTTTTTAATGATGGTTTTAAATCAATTTATTGAATAGTAAATTATTTAAAGATGATAGGACGGGAACAAAATAATTCATATTTAAAGAAATTTACTTATGAAAATAAAGAATGTAATTCATAAAATATAATAGTTTAGAAGTTAAAAAATAAATATTAAAGTGGGTTAATTATTCTGTCTTAAATAATAAATTTACATAATTAAAATATAGGTACTCGTGTAAAAAGATAAGTTTTATTCACAACAAGATAAATAGAAATACAGATATTTTATATATTTGTTCTTCATTTTGTTCGATTACAAATATCTGCATATATAAATGGTATTCACAAAAGCTCGTGTATAATTCTTAGCAATAAAACAATACTTAATATTGCTTTGGATCTAATCCATACTTTTGAATACTTTCATAGAAAAATATATATGCAACAATAAAAAAAAAAAAAAACAAATATCGCTTCATTCATTTTATATCGAGTATTTATTAATTGTGCGTTTCAATTGACCGAGTACTGCTGTTTATCCGAAGCACGTAAATTTTGAGAACGAATTCAAGCTTGACTAGCATAAGATCTCGCCATAAAATTAACGATTTATGGTTATAAATTTGGAACAATATTGATTTTGATTTAATTATTTAAATTGGAATAATGTCTCTCATACGCGATAGTTATTTGAGGTGAGTATCACGTCTCTCATTCGTGGCCTGACCTTCTTTTCTTTACTTGTAAAATATTTACCCAATCAAATTACTTCAGTTAATTATTAAAAAATTAAATGTGCCCTTACGTAGTTTCTTAAATTCCAATCCAACCTGATAACATATAGTTCATTTATTAAAAAAGTGATAGTTCTGAAAAAATGACTAATTACAACCACTTCTGGAACCACCTCTGCACACTCTAAATCCTAAAATTCAATTAAAGCTCTTAAAATGGGTGCCACACACGGTTTACCGTGAGACACAATCCCGTGTGTTATTTTACATATTTGTTCGTTTTCCTTTGAACAAGCGAAACTCTATATGATCCAGTTTCGTTGCTCATTGTGGCGGTAGGAAATTGTATACTGGATATCTAGGCGCGAAACGATTCGAAATACCGAAAACATGCTCGGATTCACCGCGTTCCCAAAGACTTCTCGCACCGTTAGTCGATTCCTCGTACGATGGAGGAGCTGCAGATTAATATGCAAATTAATTTACATATTTTTTTCCTGTAATTAAAGTCTACATTAAACGATGGATGAAATATTCTTACGTAAATTGGGATACAAATTCGAAGCAGGTGCGCCGTCAGGACTGGATGTTGGTATTCCAGGAGTTACCCATCCAACTTCCGGTTTCATTGAATAGGCTTCTGCTGGAGGAGCAGTAGGAGTCTGATAATTCACCAGTGGCACCGTACCCACGAAGATTAACGTGTTCTTCGATAGATTCCTATGATACCTGTAACAAAATTACTTTTTTTCTAATAACTGTATACAAAATGAGCTGTCTAATTAGGAGAAATGAAAATCCTTAACACGAACCATCCCGAGACAACGGCTACGACTTTAAGATTGTACTCCAAATCAATGATTCTGCAATTGGTAAGATTCGACGGAGGTAACGGTGGAATATCAAGCTTCTGTTCGTATTCAACGGTTGCTCCTCCTTCTACCGGGCCTTTTCCAACTTCCGCCACGACGATTTCTTCGGTTTTCGTGTCGGTGGTTGGCGTTGTTGCACGGAAAGTCACGATCTAGACTTCACGATTCATCGTTATCTTCAAACCTTTCACATCATCACGCAAATGGCTTTTAGTAGCAGCACCTGGCTTAGTGTACCTTACAAAGAATGAGCTTAACACTTTCCACCGTCACTCCAGATAAATTTTCAACGTTCACCTTTGCTGGCATCGACTGACCTGGCACGTACCCTCTGACCGGTAAGGAATAATTCACGGTCAATGGTGGTGTACCGCAGCATAAGCAGCAAAACGTTTTGCTCATTTCTTCTCGTACGCTTTCCTGAAAAAATAATTATTTGTGTATTCGGTATCAAAAATTTCAGAATTTCAAAGTTTCAAATTAGCAAGACTTTGAAATTAATTATCTATAAGGGGTTAACGATGCAATAAAAATTGCTGATAAATCGTACCGAAGCCCTTTGCTCCTGATTGAGGTCGAGAGGCGACACCACCGTGAATGGACTCTTCACTTCCTGATCGAATTTCCATGGACGATCCAGGGTCACTTTGACCGTGTATCGAACATGTCCGAAATCAGCTTCGAAACTGCTGGGTATATTTGTTGGTAGAACGCACTGAAACGGAAACTTGTGCTCTCCGCTTTGAATCTCGATCTCACCCCCTGAACAAACAATTTATTGTTATTCTGATAAGAGGTCTGAGAATTGAATGAAACTTGTTTGAAATTTTACCGGAAGCAGAGCCAACCAGATAGTACTTTGTCTCGAAATATTCTTCGTGGCCAGTCACTGTTTGAGTTCCATCTCTGTATTGTCCTCTCTCGTCCATGTCCTGTTTATCGGTTGTCCAGCATGTGTTTGCTTCACCTTTTACTTTCACGCTTATACCTGTAAAAAAAATTAATTAAATATCATTTGGAAAATTGGCATTTGTACTAATGTACAGTATCGAGCAATTAGACTAATAATTCATATTATAACATGTACTAAATACATACGATTATTTTCACTGTGCCAGTTAACGTGTTAAGACTGAGGCGAATACTTGCAGCATGCTTACGATGTAAAAATAAACACTTGAAAGAGAAACACCCATAATCCTGCCTAAATACACGAATGAGAAAAATTGCAAAACACAAAGCGGTGCCACAAGAAACGATTGCGACAATAAAACAAAAGAGAATAACGTATCGTAAAAGCAATAAAGCGTAACAAAAACAAATGTTTCTCGACTGGTCACGGTGCGGGTGTACACGTCGAGCTATAATTAAACTACACCTTGCAGGAAAGAAGAAAAGAAATCTATTCAAGAATGCGGTGACAACAGATATGCGTCAGATAATCATCTACAAACATGAGAAAAACTCTCAACTATACATGTTTATTATAAAAAATAATTAAATTATGTTTTGAATATTTGTAAGGGAATTGGGTAGCAAAAAATTAATTTTTCTTTTGTGCACCTATTTTTTTTTTTTAATACACCGCAGTAATATTAAAACACAGAATAAAATGTTGCATTAATGTAATATTGGTCGTAAATAAATTTAAAAAGTCATTCTTTTAAATGTCAATCTTATCATGACATAGTTCCATCTTAATGAAACATTTGCGTTAAAATACCTGTCGAAGGACACGACTCTCTATGCAATTAACTCTCTAATACTAATGTACGTCAAATTTATGTGTATCGAAGTTTTCCAACGTTTTACAATAAACAGCTGCGAATAATTAATCTAAAATCTAAATTAATTTAAATAAATAAATTAATTCTTCTAAATTCTCTTGGAACCGTCTGGGTCGTTGACACCGTTAACCGAAATTTTCTTTTCTTACGAATTCTTTCTTGAAAAACATTTGAAAAATATTTTATTTATTGTTAGTAATACGCATTAACATTCCAGGGTTGGGCACCTGTCTGTTCTCTGAATTCCATCAAATGATCCGCCATCGAAATCAGGTGAAACGGAAATAACAATAGATTTCTATGATGACTCATTACACAAATATCCATGAGATCATCGTACATACCGCGGATCTTCTTTGTACTATCCAGCACAACGATGATATTTCCGGCGACCGTCTGTCCTGGATAATACGTGCTCCAGGGATTGTCGAAAACGACGCGGAAGTCCTTGAGTCCCATGTTCCCTGGTCCTTTGCACTTCCGCTCGATTCCGCAGCGGCTTATTTTTTATCAATTATTCCACTTGCGAACAGTATGTTTCGGTAACCGAGTATCGTGTACAACGTGTCTATATCGAGCCGCTAGTAAAAGCCGGCCTGCAATCGTGCTTACGAGTACACGCTACACTGCTAAGTCACTCGATATTTCTCTCTTCTGCGCAGATACCAGCTCGATGGTAGGAGAACAATGTTACTGACTAGAGACAGTGACTACAGATCGACAAGGCTGGAAACAAATGGCGCCAGATGCCTACCGACTGCGGAAGGATCGATCGATAATTCGGAAAGTAGTTTCCGCTCTTTTTTAATAGATAACGCGACCGGTTTACCTCGTTCTAGAAAATCGATCGGTTAGTTATCGAGTAGTTTGCGCCGTTTTTGTATAGATGGCACAATGTTCGAATTTGAATTACTTTTTGCGGGTGATTTAATTATTCAATTAAATTGTAATTGACATTTTAATTTGTAAATCAATTATTTCATCGTAGCAAAGCTTATGGAATTACATCACTGCAGATATTACAGTATATGCATTCGATATGTCCAGTTGTCAAACAAATTAAAATATTGCGTTATAGTGATTGAATCTCTACACGAATTCAAGCTAGAAGATTCATCTCAAATTATATAATTAATACATGTTAATAGTGTTAACTTACAAAATAACTCAATCGTTATAAACAGGAACCAATTAATAGTATACACTTTTCCTAACTAAATGATTAATCCACGAAGAAGAAGAAGAAGAAGAAGAAGAAGAAGGGAAACGGGGTGAAATAAGAAAAATAGAAAGATGGAATCCATCGAGCGGGACAGGTCGGTCTCGTTGCCAGTCAGTTCGCGGCGTATTCCGGTTTTCCCTTCGATTAAGCCTACCCAGGGAGAATGATGATTTCCGGTGGCGTCTGTTTCTTGTCCCGCAACGAGACCGGGCTGAAATAGCGGCCAAGATAGAGGGAATCCGATAACGTATTCCGACGGCATTGTGCCGATACCAGTTTCTCTACGTGCAGCCTCTCTTTCTCGATACCGTGGCACGATCGCAAGAAGAAGGAGCAACAAGATCTTCTTGGCGGGGAGGAAGTGGGCTTTTTGCCGAACAGCGGCTCGGTTCATTCATGAACCCGTTCCTCAGCGAAACCAGCAGATCAACGAGAGTCCAGATACGCCGACGAACGCTAGGGAATGCGGCTCTCAAAGGGTTAATTGCACGAATTACGTGAATTGCGCGAGCACGCGGCGACATGGTGGATCTTAATCGAACTGAATTATCACGCGTCACCGAGATACGCTCTCGCTTCGAACCTTCTGATAATCCATTGGGAAAGGTCTTGATCGACGAGCTTATTCGCATCCTTTTATTTCGATTCATATTTCTCTAGCATCGTATTGTAAAATCAAAGGGTACAATAAATGACTGGTATCCTTATAGAAACGTACACGATCATTCCAGGAGTAGATAAATAAAAATGGTACCAGTCGCTTATGGTACGGCCAGATAAATCACGTTGTTTGATTCGTTGCGCCAACAGCGATGGTACTCTTTAATAAGCAATCGATTTCGAAGAAGCTGCTTAAAAGGAAGAACACGATTACACCGATGATAGTTCCAGGTACGGTTACGATGAATATCCGCGAAGTCGATTGAACAACGTAAATGAAAGCTTTCGATGAAACGGAGTTAATTAATTATCGCGATCGGGGAAACGTTTCGGGGACAGGACAATGGTCGTGTTAAACTGCACCGGCGTTACTATTATATTTCGCCAATGCCAAATTAAGACCGGCCACCTTGTACGGTGTGCATCCATGAGGATCGCGAGCTTCATGCCGATTTAATTAATGAGTACAGAGACGGTTCTTTAAAATCGTCGCTACACCCACGTCTGGTGGTTTGTATGCTTGTCGTTTAACACTAGAACTACCGACGTTTCATGCACATTTATTTCTAACTTGAAAATAATGTAGATTACTAAATATACATTTTATAATATTTGTAATTTAAAATAAGAAACTAGATAAAATTATTGCTACGATTTATAAATGAAATTCTTTGTAAAAATAATTTAGTCACAGCCTTGGATACCCTTTAGAAAATAATAAAGATTATTTATTAATTTTATAGTAAAGGATAATTTGAAATATTTCAAGCAACACAGAGGGACCTCTTATTTCCCTGCGCATTATCCTGCAAAGATATCCTGCCGGGACAAGAAACACGCGAGACAAATTGAAGTTTTTCGCGAACGAACCTGTCCGTGGGCCGCGAACCTGTCTTCCTTCGGCTGAACCGGCCACGGCACTCCGTTCTATCCGATCCTGCTCGCTCGCTCGCTTCACGCTTCACGCTCGATGCAATTCCGCGTCTGCTATCTTCCCGTCTCACACCAACGGCCAACGCACCTTAAATCGCCGATTTACTGGACTCTCGCGCGAACTTACCTTATCTTTCTACCTTATAAGGAAGTCGCAGAACCGAGCTCGTCGGCGCAAACGAACACCTTGCTTCTGAACAGAATTTCGAGGAAGGTTTGTTTAAGAATATAATTGAAAAAGAGTTACGAGGTAAATTTTAATCGGGATAGGTATAACTTGGTACCTTAACCCTTTCGTGACTCTCTTTTCTTATTTTTTAATAATTATAATTTTACAGAGCACCTTAAATGGAACTCTAATATTTCTTCAAAAAATAATAAAATTTCTGATTTGATGAAATGTATGACTGTCAAAGTGTTGAATTAATTAAAGAGAGAAAACATTACTCGATTATTAAATTTCTGCACCGGCAGGGTCTCTAACGCAGGACGTTCATTCCCAGGCCCTTGCTGATGGGCCAAAATTCCTCTTTTTTTCATCGGGGTCCAGGACGAGGCCGTATTAGGAAACCTGCAGTCATTGTGCGCGCCACGCTGAACAACGACGTCGGCGACGACGACGCTTGGAAAAATCCTGCTCACCTCTTCATCGTCAAATTCGATTGCTCTTTGTCCGTGTCCCTTTCAGAAAGTAACACAATAGATGTAGGTAGATAAACGTACCTTTTAGTTTCTAAATACAATTAATAATAATTCTTTATAAAAAAAAAAAATTTATTTCCATTTAATAAAAAAATAAAAAATTTCAAATTGGCAATTTAAAAATTAAATTAGTTTTATTCCAACCTCTGTCTTGGATATTTATTTTAAATAATATTGATGTTACTTAGAATAGTTTCAATTTTTCCAATTTTCCATCAATTTTCTGATTATACAAAACTTTTAGTGCCAACCATTTGGCGTCCCCTTTTTGTTTTACAGTCAGGTGTTCCAAACAGGTGGGCTCCAACGACGAAAATTCACTGAAGATTCCCCCTTCTGGAAGATGGGAGCTCGAAGAAGAGGATCGTTCCACGGCCACGACCACATCTTGACCGCGGATAAAAAGTCTTCAAGGTGAGCCAGAGAGACGTATGAATGGGCGTATGCATGAATGGCTGGGCTGAAGTGCGTGCACACGCATCCTTATCCCCTTTCTGTGCTTACCTGCACGCGTGTGTACCTGTCCAGCCAAGCTGTATCGCCAACACGACTCACATGTATCAATGAGACATTCAGCCAACCTTTAACTTCTTTAGAAATATCAAAGATATTAGATCCATTTTCTTTTCTTAAATGCAACTACAACTTTGACTCTATTTTTCAATCGAGTTATAGATTGTTGTACAAAGGGAACTTTGTTGTTCTTTATTTTTATGAAATGAATTCTTAAATTCTTCTAATATTTCAAAAATCTAAAAGAGATATCAGATATTTTAAAATAAATTATTGAAGCTAGAATTATTTTTTCTCATTACCATTAGTGGAGTAACGAATAACTGATTAGAAATATTAGCAGTGTCATTTGATTCGTCGTTCCTGAAAATCATAAAGCAGATCAGTCAAAGTATCAGTAACAATTATGTGTTTTATTATTACAGACTATAAGAATTTAATCTCTCTACAATCGACAGTACGTACAAAATAGTTCTACGTGTCGCTGCACAGGACAATAAACGATACAGACATAGGACGGTTCCTGTTGCACTTTCCCTCGTTTTATTCCTCCATAAACATCCTTTGAGCGTTTTACCTTTTTTTCTATCGAGCTTCGTCGAGAATTTACAAAACGGACGATGTTGAAAACGAGAAATCAGCAAATACGTGTCCCATTTAAAGACACGCCACGAGCCTCAGGTACGATCGTTTCATTCGCGTTTTCATCGTTCGTCCCATACTTATCAATCGCACGTATACACGTTTATTTATTTTTTAATTAAACGTCACGCGTCGATAATTATGTACATACATAAATAAATCGCTATGTGTATAATAATAAAAAAGAAAAAAAAGCACGGCTTTTGATTTACATAACAAAGAGTATAAATAAGACTAGATTTCGTTAATGATAATTAATAATGATAACGGGCATTGCTCGTTTCGCCTTCGTTTCTAGAGTTTCATTCTCATTTCTTCTCTCTTTCTACAAAATGCATTGCAAAATCGGCTCGAGGAAAGGTCTCGCGAACAACTCGAGCCGATAGAAAGCTGAATTTATCGGCTCACGCCCCTTCGAGCGGATTATCGTTGCATCCGCTTCTAATCGTCGAGCACGAAACCACTCTTTGGTTAACACGGTTCTTTCAACACTATGTACATTCCAGTCTCCCATCTTTGGCACGGAGCTACGATCGAATTTACATTATTATTAAAACGATTACGTCGCCACCTGTTTCCTCTGTTCTTCTCCTCTTACGGCGCTCAGCTTTTGTAATTAAAATTCTTCAACGAATTAGGCTCTTCTTAGCGACCGATATATCGAATCATCTTGAAAAATTTAATCACTTTTTCTGTATAATAATTAGTTATAAAATAATTCAATTCCAGTCTTTTTAGGATTGGAAATTTTCAGAATACCCGACTGCTTTTATGCGATGTATCAATAGCAATGCACTCGCCTGCTGATTTACAAATCAAGAAACTTATTAAAATCAATGAAATTATCGAAAAGAATAATAATATTTGTTTCATTGAATCACAGACAATGTTCTTATGAATTAGCAATGACTCAAGTACTTCTGAAGATTTGTTAATATAATTATGTACTTGATATGTTCACGATATTTACAATATCGTACAGGGTTATTTCTTGTTAAACGAAGGTTAACTACAATTCACGTAACGTTTCATTGCTATTGCGTAAGAATAAACTGTACGTTTATACAGATTCATAATGATTAATAGATCAGGTATTACTGTTTTTCTGTTACTAAATTATTAAAAGTGTTATTTACAAGACTGTAATTCAAAGCCAATTACGAATAATTCTTTCATAAAAATGATAAAAAATACTATTTTTTTACTGGTATATTTGCACGATATCAGTAACGAACTTTATCATATCTCCATACCTGCGCGACTCTTTTTTTGCACAATTATGAACAGCGTACAAGACGCCCGCGAAGAATAATAATAACGAGATGACGATAAAATCCTTGTGCTATATGCGATCATTGATGAAATATATTCAAGTACCAATTTTAAACGTTATTATTTCTCACGATGTGTTGGCTTTCGATTTCAATTACCAATGATTTCCTTTGTAAATCAACAAGCGAATGTAATGAAATTCAAATCAAGGTTTCAGCCTAATCACACTCGACTTTTTTGTATACTATGAACACATATGAGCAGTCCACAAAAGTGATCCAAGTGAACTGTGAACGCATACGATACATTTTATAAATTCCTTTAATTTATAATCCTGACGAAAGCAAATACTTTTGTCAGCGTTTCTTGATACCCCTAACAAAGGAAAAATTTCCTGAACCAACCATTTCCCAACCCGACTATCCACACGCATCCTCCGATCCTCCCCCCAGCCAGGACACCGCTAATCCAGCAACGTCAAATTAAAACCGACCGATCGTCTCGGGGAGCAATTTCCACGTTTCACGTCAGAGGCAGAGCTCTATGTTCATCGACGAACCCAGTGGACACGTCCACCATATTAGGGTGAGGAACAGGCGAGGGTAACACATTAGTATCACTCTCGACATCCCCGTCGGCGATTTCCCCCTCGGTGTTACCAGTCAGCTCGCGCACATTACCTGGGAGATAGTCCTTCCAGCTTCTGAACAGATACCTAGTGAACTTCCGGAGTTGCCTGAACTTACAATAGGTAGCACCCTCGGCGGACTCCAGTTGCTGGGTTTGAATAAGGAAACCCTTTTCCTTGAACGTCTGCTCGAGTTTCTCCCTCTGCAGAGACTTCCGTGTCTTCCTCTTGCGACGACCCTCCTCCTGGTTGCTGCTCCTCTGACAGGGTGCCGGTTGAATCCTCTCGCCGGCGGCGTTCAGAAAAGCGCCAGTCGACGAGCCGGATTGTCCGGCGGACTGCTGAAGTGCTTCTCTAGGGAAGAACTCGTAACCGCGCATACTTTTGTCACCGGTACCGCTGTAGTATCTGAAGTTACCACCAGAGTCAACCGACAGACTCTTCTTCTCCTGGAGACTCGGTTTCGCTCCTCCGGTGAACTTGAATTTACATATGCTCACTTCGGTCGCGGGATTATTATTGTTCTCCGTGGGCATCGGGGGTATGAATATCGCAGAACGCTTCCGCTTGGTCGGCTGACCTTGGCTTTGATTAATTGGCGCATTTCTTTTAGGTCTGGGCGAGACGGGAGGTGGCAAAGGTACTGTCTGAGGCGGTGGTTGGGCGGACGGAGGTACGAGAGGTGGACTCTTCGTCTCCAGCATCGAGTAAATGGACTTGGGAACGATCTTCTGCTCTTTCGGAGCTTGCTCTATCGTCCTTGGATAACACTTGCTGTTCTGAGCCATCTTCTGGTAGTAGAGGAGCTGGGATTGCAACGCCATTGGATGAATGAACACTCCAGCGTTGGGCCAGTACACGAAACCAGGATTGCCACCCAGCATCGGGTCTATTATGTTGTTATTATGATTTATATTGCTGCTGTTGCGACTAAGAGGATCGAGGGAACGGTAAGCTGGCTCCGGAGGATAAGTTGTACCACCTATACACTCAACTTCTTCCCCGTCACTGGAGGTGTCACTCTTCACCTGTCCAGACTCGTACACGTTGCCATGCTTTCGCAATAGCCTGATCTTCAGTTGGTTCAGATCTCTGATGCAGAGATTCAGAGGTTCGTCCTGCTCCTTCGAGTTCTCCATCAGCCCGAACGTCCTACGCGACTCCTGGGTCAGTCTCTTCTCCAACAGGCTACTAATTCTATTTTGAACATCGCTTCTCTGGAAGGGAATCTGAGGGGAAATCCTCTCGCGACAGTCGAGCTTGTCCCTAGGTGACAGCCTTTTCTCCTCGTGGCCCGGTGTCCCGGGAAGTATGGTGCCGTAATTCTTATAAATTAAATGGCAAATGTCTGCCTTCTTCGGCTTCCTACCTCTTCTAGGCTTACTGTTATCCAACGTGATCTCGCCCATGTAAGGTAGGTCCGAGTATTTCATTGGTGGCCTGCCAGATGTTTGGGACTGCGACTGACTGTGATTATGGTGGGTCGAGTTGAAGGTGTGGGACGAAGTGGAGGTTATCACCGATCTTCTAGAGCCCGATGGCTGATTCGAGTTGCTCGTCGGGCACTGAGGAGACGGGATCTGCGGGCATAGTTCCTGTTGCATCGCGGCGATCCGTTGCAGCCAGCCGTGCACATCAGCGATCGGACTTGGGATGGAGGTGGAGTTGATAGGCGCAGGACTCGGAATCGTCGGCTCCGCCAAGTGCGTCGGGGAGGAATTTAAAGCTTCCTGAGCGAGCGATGCTTCGTAGTGGTCCAGGTACTCTGGTGGCAGGGCTTGGTGATGGAACTTCAACTTCCATCGCGACTTCCTGCGACCTCGACTGAAACAGATAAGTAGGATTCTACTTGTTTAACCCTTTAACAATAGAAGAATCAAAGATTATATTTTCCTTTATTTCTATCTAAAATGGAAAAGTAGCAACAGAGATACCCCGTAATCTGAATTTCCATTTTGCGTGAGCATTCGTTACTAATTAATTCGTAATTAATTGACGCATACCATAACACGGTAAGCTTTGCAACGCTCTTTAGTACGGCTAATTCGAATCCCAACAATTACATAGGCGATACGGGTCTTTGGCTAATGTTGTTTTCCACCTAGCTGCATTCCAAACCACGCCTCGACACCGATTTATACAACACAGCACGGCACCTTCGGCCGTATGCATAGAACCAGTGTCTCGTCTCCTCTTCCAGCACCGGTTCTAACGCGGCGTTTAATGAAATTCACTAACGGTAATCGAGTCGCGGCATTTCAGTCTAAGACATACCTAAGAAATCACTTTTTTACACGAACGAGTTGAGAAGACTCGGTTGTACATGGGACGAACCAGTTTCACCTGGCGCTTCTCTTTCTTGCTGTCTATCTAAAGTACTCTTTCAAGAGCTTTACATCGAGAGGATCGTTAGAGGAGTTAAACGTGTCGATCGACACGTGATACGAGGCGATTTCTAATGATCAGATTCGAGGAAAAATGAATCCTTTCTTCAGACAGCAGGAAATGAACCTTTTGATGGATAATGTTGAAATGATAGGTTGTATTTATTCGAAGATGGTCTTATAATCAGTAATCAGTATGATTAAGTCGTTTTCTGATATATTTCTTTCATTTCAAAGTGTACATTAATTAGATGTTGAAATTTGATGGCTGGTATCAGAAATTCGTGATTTTAATTCTTTAATAAATAAGGTTCAAAGTATCCTCAGTTTACGGTTACTGTATAAAACAATAAGAATAACAAGTTACCTTGGTCTTCCTCTGTTAGTGAGATCCGAAACCGTCTGCCCTGGACTTTCCTCCAGCTCCTGAATCTGATCCGTTTCGTGTCCATGGCCATGTTTGCCATCGACAGATGTCAGTGACGTATCTGCATCTACTTGTGGACTGTCAAATTTATCATTAACTATCTACCGTAACAAGAAACGTTCTTAATCATGACTAAATAAAAAAGACAACACTTCTATGTCATCAAATTAGTTTCAAACATTAAATTCCACGTGATCAAAGAATGTACAAAAAGAAATTCGAAAGTACACGTGTTGTGCCATTACTCAGCGCACAATTTCGGAACTATACTCCGTAAGTGAGTACATAAATTACTTTTATGCAGCTCGAAGTGGTCGTTGTGTACTATGCTCTTCAAAAAATAATCTGCCGCTCGTAAACGCCAACAGAACGTCCGTCTACTGTAAAGCACGTGGGCGTGTAGACTTCACGTGGCTTATGTTTCGTTAATAACGTATTTGTTCGTTTCTCTGACAAGTTACGTTTACCTCGTTACAATGCATAATACGGGATGATCGTATAATTAATAAATCTCTCGAGATTGATCGCTGTGTCTAACTACGAGTGTCTATTTCTACCGTGCCTATTCTATTTATTATCACGTCTCTTATTATATAATATTATTATGTACTAATTTGTACCCTGTTTTAATTGCAAGCTCACCTCAACGCATTCGTGTCACGACTACGTTCCTCCTCCTCCTGGGGCTCCTGCTTGACCGCCATGTGGAGCAGAGGTGGTAAGGGACACTTTATCTGCGACGAGTGATGCAGATGATGCTGCAGAGTGGTGCTGTCTGTGGGGCCACTGTCTATCCCAGTAGATTGTGCACGAGGCACGACTTCCTCGGTCTGCATAGTGCCCCCTGAAAAAAAAAAAGAAAAAAATACATATCCAATTAGATATGCATAGAATAATCAAATATCTAACATTCAATCTTTAAATTTTTATCTAAGTCTAGCATTCTAGGATTAAGAATAACGTCGACAAGTGATATCAATACCATCCCCCTCCCCAAAATTTTAATTAATGAAAAGTACCCTATCAACCTAAACGATCCCTTAGAAAGTGGAACATTTCCAATGAATTTCGACTTTTCGTTTCATCAATAAACGTATGTAAATAGGTCTGAGGGAAAGGTTACGCGTGGGCATCCGTCGTGTTGACTTTAGCTCGCGGTGCAGCCTGGATATTGCGGAATATTCATAACCTTCTCGTTAATGAAACGCATTGTCGGATTAATCGGGTGTTTCTAATGGCAACGTCAACGGGCGTGAGAAATGGAAGAAACTAAACAAATGGCCGCATGCAAATCGCGGTAAGAAACTCGTGTGGGGTGTTACACCATATGCGCTTCGCGTGTGGGCAAACCGAAGCGGGCTACATACGCGTCCGTCGCGTCGCGTCGCGTCGCTTCGAAATCGTGCAAAAGGTATAACGTGGTTGTGCGTTACGCGACATATCGGAATGCTTTTCAGCTCGCCTCTACACACCTGTCACGTATAATTCCTCGTGATGCTCTTTTAGGCTCATCGAAACCCGTCGATCCTCCATGTATAAATAGTCGACTCGCCGCGTTCTTCGCGCGTAATAATAAACGCGAGGAATAAGAGGACGGGGTGCTTGCACGCGAAAACGATCGTAAACGCGGTTATGGAAAAGAGTATACATTGATATTGAAATAACGATAGTAATTCGCAAAGGGGCAGAAATAATAGATAGAAAAAAAAAATAGAAGAGGGGATGCGAAATAATTTTGCAGTAGTGAAGAATAAAAATTTCTTATGGATTTTATGAGTTTCATATAAAAAAGAAAAAAAATATCATAAAAGCGAAGAAATTGAAAAGGATCATGTTTCGTATCATACTGAGATACAAAAACATCATTAAATTTAATACGAAAGATATAGTATAGACAGCATGATCCGTCGCTATGATATCGGTGATTTCAATTTTTCAAAGAATTGCCTGGAAAAACAGCCCTCCCTTAAGGGAAGCACACTCTGTACAAACTATACTTTCTCTGGCAGCACGTGCGACAGGGTTCTAATAACACCGTGCACGTGCCATTTAAAATTAACCAGACCGTTCACACGAGACCAGGGATTAATCGTAGCATACCAGTCAGATAGTACCCGAAGACAATTAGATACGTATCTATGTACTCGTGAATAGAATAAATTTTTCAAAAATGGTCCAACTGATTTGAATTCTATTAAGAATCTAGAAGCATACTTTACTAAATTATTTGAAAAAAAAAAATTGCAATTGATTAGAATAGTTTTTCTCTACCTCTACAATTTGAGTTCTGAATGGCTCGTATAAATATGGAATTCGGTGGAAAATCGTGTGAAAATTCGGTTTGACTTTGACGTGAAGGCACACGCCAAAAACGGGAGCAATATAGTTTAACCGAGGGCCATTCCAAGTCTGTGTGTGACGGTGTATTAATAACGACGGTGTGCGGGAGGTGGCCCGATTCATTGAAGACCAGTTATAGAATGATGCAGCCGGCCGCGTAACTACAATTTATTTTTTGGCTATTTTTAGCGGTTGGCGTAGCGCCACTATTTTCGGTTCTCTCAAATTTCTCACTCCATATTTGGGATTATGGATGACGGGACCCGCGGAGCGGTGTATCTTTACGACTTCGCCCGTTGAGACACTTTCGTTGCCTCTGCCTGATGGTACCTTCTACCATTCCCTATATTCAGGCTTACATTTATGTTTCGCATTAACACCTGGCTAGGCTAATATACGGGAACAATGAACGCGAGATGTCTGATACTCCCGTCCCTGTTATCAGACATTTTTCGTGACTAAGTATTCATTCCAGTCCATAAGTTATAGGACACCTTAGGGCTACTCTAAATGGTCATACTTTATAATGAATGATCATTATAAATTAATTACTTTATAATTTATTTCATAAATTATGAAATTTCATTACATGTATTTAATATTTCAAAAAACAAAAAATAAAATGTATAAATTGAATTTATTTTAGCTTTAAAATATGGGAACGGTACATCTTGAAAAGCCCTTAACTTATTAGGTTATTGACCCTCAGCTGTTGCGCGATACTCGCTTAACCGTGGATCAGATTATTCTATGATCAAACTGTTGGGTCTTTTTGTAAATATAAAAAACGACAGAATTTTTGGAGAAGATTGATACATTTCTAAGATTCGATTGCGGGCAACAAGTGGATGATGTTTAGAAGGGAGTGCTCGCACGCGGACGAGCATGTGTTCAGTCTCAATTGGCAACAGCACAAGTAGGTTAAAAACGGTAAGTCAGCCGCGATGCTCAGGAATATGTCAAGGCGACATTGTAACAAGGGTGAAATTCAGTGAAAAGGTGAGAAATGATTGTCCTTCAAGGTTCTCTGTGAACCTTCAAGTGTACCGTCAATATATTTTACCAAGATCGTTATTAAATTGTCTATTTACAGATACTGCGACTCTTTTTGCTTTTTAAATATTTTTATAAATAAAATAGCTAAAGTCTTTATTCGGGATGAAAAATTATCACCTTTAATGTCTTTCAAACCGTAGAAGTTAAAGCAAAAATATTCATTAGAAATTACACGCTTTGATAGATTCCTCCCCTATGGGTGGTCCCCCATTTTAGAAAAATTGCATGGCAGAATACCGATAATTTTTTTCTTAAAATATCTTCTTGAAATATCAAAGAGTAAATCCAACTTTATTTCCAATTACCTGTCACGGGAAACTTGCTTTCTGGCAACATGAACGCTCGCTGCTTGATGGCCCTTGTTCCCTCGAAAGCTTCTCGTCAAGCAGATAACGAGCATTCGTCGTGGAAAAGAATCCTCTGCAGATGTTAATCACTCGCGTTATCCAGAAAACAGAAGGGTAAACTGGTGCACGAAAGTAGATGACGCGATTCGCGACTGCGGACACTTGTTGTCTCGGCCACCGGGGATGTCACACGAGAATCGACCGGAAAACGACGATAGGATGGTGAACGAGTGTGGCCGCAGCAAAATGGAGACGGTGGTCGAAGGAAGGAAGGTGAGAAGCGGATGGAGGGCACGTGTTTCTGCGAGACGGGTTATCCGCGAACCAGAAGAACACCGATAGAAGAAGGAAGAACTTGAAACGTGTGAAGAAAGAGAAAGATGGTTAGAGAAGAGGGAGGCAGAAAAAAAGAGTGAGAGAGAGAGAGAGAGAGAGAGAAAGAGAGAAAGAAGGAACGCGTAGCAGTCCGTTTTGAGGCAGTTTTGGCACTGTTACCAGCACGAACGGGCAAGCACCAACCCCGAACAGAGCGCCTCCACCTCCGCCGCGAAGACGAAGACGAGCACAGCGACCGAAGCGGTGACGAAGAAGATGAGCAGAGGCTCCCCCTTAGAGGGAGAAGGGCAAGCGGAGGCGAGGGCGTATATTCTTGATTTGGGCGGATGGAAATCTGAGATTGCTCCATATCGGGCTGTGCGCCGTGACCAAGGAGGTGCTCTGTAATAGCAGACGTCTGAACCTCTTCTCCGTTGTCTCTCTTCGTTTCAACGTCTTTACGCGCGATCTTTCCTTTCGTCACGTGCTTCGAATGTTCCTTCTTCTCTTTCCCGTTCTTCTTCGTTGATTAACACTCCGCATCACCGTCGTTAGGTCTTTTTAAACCAAATAATTACCCTCTGACAATTAGGGTATAGACGATTTCAGTGATACAGGATTAACCCTCCGTTGCATAATTTTCTTAACTTTACGGTTTCATACTCATATAAGTAATAATAATAATATTTATTTAAAATAAAATTTTATAATACTACAAATTTCCAATCTTGTGCCTTTTAATACACTTTACTCTAATTTTCGTTTCGTATATTTTTAAATAAATAAAAATGCCAATAAGATAGATACTTTCGAGAAGTAATTTTCCTTCGATGTTTGTCTATAAAATTACAGGCATAAAACTCGCGAAAGTAAAATTAATATTTAGACAAGGGGAAGAGTTATGACGGTGTTACACAACAGCAGGTGAATAAGAACTTTGAAGTGATCGTTCAAAACTCTTGGAACGAGTACTCGTGCGAAGAAGCAAATCCACAAATACCAAGCAACATTGTAACACCTTTTTGACTTGGTGGGAAAATTGATGCGGTCGCTGCGACAGGAACTGGATAAATTAGAGCGAAAAATCGACTATCTTGAGTGTTGCCAACAAATCAGCCATGCTGAGAGTCAGCACGACTCGCGCGGTCGGCTTTTGCCTATCTGGGGTAGAGATGTGTTTACGAAATAAACGGGAATCGAAAATAGTAGCCCCCGAAAACTCGAATATATCTGGAAACCTTATACCATTACCGCCTATAAAACCGAAATAACACCGAGCGAAAATAATATCTCCCCTTGATTCTTCGTTCAACGTCTAAACGTCGTTTTCAAACGCTTTATTGCTTCGTGTATTTATAATTATTAAATGTACCTTACGAATTTCAACGGTACAAAAGAAGTTTTAGAACGATCAAATTGAAGCTCTATAAAATTGGATGAATTGCGATTGAATTGAAACTGAAATTTATAGCTAACCGTGGAAACCGTGTCGTTGAATGCATGGAATTCATTACGCAAATGAGTATACCAGATTGTGGGAAACGGTAATCAGAAAGCAACCAGCTACTGTATTTATTAAAAGATTATAAATGATACAGGTTATCGATAGATTACTTTTTTTTTTCTTAAACTTGATATTCGAAAACAGCTGCCGCCCACTGTCTTCGAATCGTGAGCGTAGGAGAATATGACTTGTTACTGATATTCTAATGTGATCAGTGTCGTGAGATGTTGTGAATGAAGTTTCGTGTACGCTTTCCACGAACGTCGTTAATATCTAAAACAGTTTCTCCTGTAATTCTTCACCCCTAAAAAATTGTTTTTAAATTAGTATCTCTATAAGTTTAATTTTCTTCGCCCTGATTATTTTCAAGGTTTTCTAAAATTTTCCAAAATATTCTGTTACTTATTAAAAGAAAAAGGCTTTCGAAATAGAGGGATGAAGTGATCCTTTGAACCCCTTCTAGTTTCGTTAACGTCTCAAAGTATAGAGTTAACAAGTCATCATCGATAAGATTGATCGAAGCTACTGTCGATAGATAAAGGTGAAACCATTGAAACGACGATGGGATGCAAGATAACGCGACTTTGTTCGATACGGCGGAGGCGTATATTATATCCCGCATAGGTTAAGCCACCCCGCCTACTTGTTCGACGTGTCCCAATACCTGGCAGCGATATGTCAACAGCTACTTTCCACTCCGTGTCCAGGCACCAGGTTTTATCGGCGACCACTCTCGGCTATGGCGACAGCCGCACAGCGTAAGTGTACAACAATCTGACGGCTGACAAGCTGCCATTTTAACGTACGATTACGCTTTTTAATGCCCGCTCGAGCGGAAAAGGGGAAATCATTGTCATACGCCCGCGACACGATAAAACCTGTTGAATAATCAACATTCGTATCTGATCTCCAACCCTTTACTAATAGAACTGCGGATAGTCGATCATTGTTCAAGTAATAATTATTGTTCGATTTGCTTTTCTTTTTGCCATTTTTAATTTTTATATTAAATTAAAGAGCATCGATTAATTATTCCATAATATTAACGACGATGGGTTTAAACCAGTTTACCATCAAAGAGATTGGCAAACACGATTGGCAAACATCAAAAACTTGTTCGTACCCTTCGAAAATATATAATCGGTCGATTTTCTTTGGATGATTACATGTAAATTTCACTGCACTTCAGTAGAATGTCCCTGGGACGAGCAGACAGAGGCTGTCTCTTCTTATGAAACGACCCTTTCGTGGAACAAATTAATTATTACGATCCAGAGGTGGATTAAGTATCATGGAAGGTGTTATACGATACTATAAACGGCGGTCATTTTTCTTCGTCCCTTATTTTCTTTATGTTAACACTTAAACGATCAGGCAGGTGTTAACACTTTACGAGCCAATCTAATTTGTTCAACGAATCCAATTTAATTATAATTATTATTATAATAACACAAAATATCTTAGATTTATTGAAAATAAAATTGCTTAAAGTGTTAATATTTTAATTAATTTTAATTTTACAGTATTCAATTCCACACTGGTGAAATTGAATGATTAAATCTATTTATAAATTCTAGATAAAATTGATCGTGTTTCTAATGTTTGCTTTTGATTTAATCCGAAGAAATCTATCGCGGACCATCAATTATCTTTCACCCATAGAATAGAGCAGCCTAGGAGAGATAATAATTTCCATGAAGTAGATACACATCGGATTTTCTCTTCGTCGAACAAGGCTCATTATAGAACGGCAAAAAAAAAAAAAATTGAATATCATGCATCTAGCGTGTTATGGTTACACCGAGACGCATACAACACGCTCGGCACAGTAAATTATTACCTGTACACGAGAATATTTCTTCGTTTTGACAGAGGAAACGGATGCCGATTTCCATCAAAAGAGAATACATACAGCTTTCACTTTGCGACGCGATTTTTCTACTTTCTTCAACGGTGTATTTATCTTTCTGTTCTTTCGCGTAACACATAATCTTTGTAACATGCAGCACATTGTTTGTTTTCGAACGAGATCTCGGAGATTTCGGTGAATTCGATGATTCGATACTAAAAACAGATTGTTATACAAGTGTTGAAGGTGATATCGGTTCGATGAACGTTCCTTATGACCTCGTGGAAATTTTAAACACCGGCTCCAATCTATTTTCACGAATTTTTTCAATTTTCAAGCTATTAATAGCATTGTGAAAGGATTTTTGGAAATTAGAAAAATTTTCAAAATACGATCATATACATATATAAGGGTGAAATTTCTATTCAATTTCTTCTAATAGTATAACGATAGTAAATGTCTAGGTTCGTTCTACTCAGAAACTGTTTCTAAAATCACCTTTACGGAGTCGAAAAAAGAGAAAACGAATGTTTCCTGTATACAGACGATGGACCACTTTACAGTTAGGCCAATTGGATCGCCCACACAGCGTAGAAATCTGTAAAAGGAATATCGAGCCACAACTACCAATACCGTTAAATTGCTCGTAGCTTTTTCCCTCGAGAAACTATTCAAGGCGTGCTGCTTTTAATTTGGCAATGACGCAACACGAACAGGCTCCGATCATTCGCGTGGGTGTTTTCTATTACACGTGTCAAACTTATACCATATTTGGCAGCCCACCATCAAGTAAATTCAAAAATTAGGATACTGATTTAATAAATATTTCAAGCTTTTCGTATTTTATACATATAAATAGGCTTCGAAATTAAAAAAATTCCATAAAATATTAAATGATTCGAAAGGTGTGGCAGAGTACTGTATCGTAACAATGTCATAAATACAAATCGTTTAATGGATACATCAGAAACCTGATAAAAGAGCAGCTTTATTTCATCATATACAATTCTGGAGCGATCGAACCGTATTATTAATCAACAATCGAACCTTAAAAAAAAAAAGGTTTATTATTCTTGCGACGTGTTTCGATCGGCAAAGAAACACTCGATTTCGCATAACACAGCATCGATAGTAACGATCTCCCTGAAAGAGGGCAGACAAAAAGCGTGCGGACGAACGAAGGTGGTGCATATACCGGTCGGTGTCACTTGCACAAGCAACCTTAAGGAACTTTGATTGGACGGATCGAGAAACGCCGGTTGTAAAAGTTTTCCCTGCTGGTATGTCCAAATGTAAATATCGCGATTGAAAGGACGAGGACAGAGGATGAAAGAGAAACGGGCCGCTATCATTTCGACGTTGCAATCTGTCTCTGGGATGCATGGGCAATAGTGGCCGCCAGGTAAAACCCGCAGTTGATCGCGATTGGCAGCTCTCTCGATGTGGAAATTCTCCCACCCTTGTTTCCAATGCCCACCTTCTTCGTCTTCCTCTCGATCGGCTCCCTGCCATTCTAAAGAGGCGAACGATCGTTCGGGAGATCCAGCGAACCCTCCTTCCGATCGCCATTCTTGCTAATTCCACTAAATATGGCTGTACCAGACGTATAACCCTTTCGTTTTGTTCTATTTCATATTTTAATAGCCCATGGAAAAGCAATATTATACAAAATTCAAAATTATACACTCAAGTGCAACGTAGAGTTCCTTCCCTTAAGAGTTAGAGATGAAGGTAGGTATTTTATTAATGGCACCTAAGATTGTTTTTAATTTTTGTTTATTTTAATTACTCATTAATGCGCAACGTGGCAGGGAGCAGGCAATTTTCAAATTAAGCTCTCAATTTATAACGTTATTATATCAGTATAATAGTAATATCGTTCATTTTTCTTCTGCCTTTTTCTTTTAATTATTCGAGGTACCGGTCACCGGTGGCCCCTGCAGCAATCAACGCGTTACATCATTGAATGGTAGTTGCATAATAATCAACTGCTTAATATACGTAGTTTATTATCCAGCACGATCACGCCTGACCGAAGAAAAATCCGTAATTACAAATTTTCCTCGTATCCTATGCAGTTAAGATATATCAGCAACGGCGAGAAGGAAAAAGCGCGATGTCTCGGGTTGATCTAAGCCGAGTTTTCCACGGAATTCATTCGGAAGACGCTTAACGAGCCGATTAAGAAACACTAGC